GCTGGATGCCAGCGCTGGCCGGTGCCTCAGGGCCCGCAGGCCACGGACAGGGCTCCCCTGGGAACCAGGCAGGGGGGTTCCACGGAGCCCTGATTCCCCTCCGAGCAGGATACCAACGCCCTGAGCCGCCCGGCCATGTCGGGGAGATACATTCACAGACATCCCTGCTACAGGGCGTGGGGTCTGGGATGGCATGAGCTCGGCTCACAATGGCTGCCCCTGTGGCCGGGGACAGGTGACCCCGCCCTCTGAGCCGGCTCCTGCTCCGTGAGGTGCAGGGCACGGTGACCCTGTCTCCCAGGGCAGTGTCCTCGGAGGTGATGCGTGGTGAGTGCTGGGCACAGCGCCTGGACGTGCCCTGCCCACGTGGTCGCGGCTGCTACTGCACGGACAGGAGCCCCACACGTCCGTGGGCACGCGTGTGCTCGGCCCGGTGCTCCCGTGTGCACATGTGACGCCTACACACCCACGGAGACGTGCTCTCGGCCTTCGCACGCATCCTCCCCCACCCCGGGGTCACCTGGGGCCGCTCACCCTGCTGGCAGCTCCCCACCCACCTGGGGTGAGGCCTGGCTGGGAGACTTTGGGGGGTGTGATGGGTGCACCCCTGTGCCCGCCTCCTGGCCTGGCCCTGCCTGAACCGGGGACCTGCCCATGAGAGGCTGAAACTCTGCATTCAGCCGGGAGACGTCACTGCAGCGGAACCTGGCTGGTCCTAGGGACGCATTCCCGCTCAGTGAGGTCACGCTCGCGCTCTCAGGCCCCCCCTCCTGCCGCCTGCCCGCCGACGTCACACACGCTCACACCCCCGTCTGCGGGTGGCGATGACTGAACCCATTTTACAGACAAGAAAACTGAGGACACTGGGGTGTGAAGACTCGGGCAGACCCGGGTCAGAGCATCTGCCCGCCCGCGGTCCTGCCCGCTGCCCTCTGGGACCAGTCACCGTTATCTACAGGAAAGCGCTCCCCCCGCCGTGCCCGCGGGCCCGATGGCGGCGGCCTCCATGAGGGACGGAGGGCGCGGCACTCACCAGGGTGATGTTGGCCACGTCCTTGACGAACGCGATGGCCTTCTCGGGCTGGAACTTGCATTTGCCGTCCTGTTGAGGGCAAAGGGTGGGGGGCACAGGTCAGGGCCTCCCCCACGCAGCCTGGCAAGACGGACGGACGGAGCAGACGCTGCGTGGGCCGGGCCTGGGGTGGGCGCAGAAGCTCACAGTCCAGCGGGTGGGAGGGGGCGGGGGGCATAACCCTGCCCCAGGACACGGGGAGATGGAGCTCCAGGCAGGGGGTGGGGGGGATGCGCCAGTCTCAGTCCCGGGAGGTCGCGTGGAGGGAGAGGAGGTCAGGTGACCGGAGGCAGGACCCAGCCCGGCCGGCGTGGCTCAGTGGTTGAGCATCGACCTATGAACCAGGAGGTCAGGGTTCGATTCCCAGTCAGGGCACAGGCCCGGGTGGCGAGTTCGATCCCCAGTGTGGGGCATGCAGGAGGCGGCCGATCCATGATTCTCTCTCATCATGGATGTTTCTCTCT